GCAGTTGCATAGATATTAGTTGTCCAAAGTGACCTTGAGTTCAAATACATATAAGGATTTTCCATGGTTCTAATTAAATTAGAGGAATTAAATATGTAAAATCTGATGTGATTAAATTGATTTGAGGTATATGAATACAATGAATGATATTATGTTAATTTGATGGTGGCTTAACATAACAATTCTCATCATTGCCTTTTTTGTTTAGTTGCACATTCTATTTTTTCCGTATGATTTGAAAACTAGAGTGATCTTTTTTTTTTCTTTTTGAAATTGAGAAATATAGGGTTGATGCCTAACTTGTGTAAATGGGAGATGTTAATTTATGCTGTGAGTTATATATCTAAATAGGCACTAATACTTGTCATTAATTTTTAACTATTCCTAAATTACATTACTAGCAAGGAAAATAATTTTCTTAATTAGTTAAGATAAGCACAATCTTCTTAATTAGTTGATATGGGCATTAAGAGATATATTATCTTCTTGTTAAGAGAATTTCACTATGAATATTCACTCTCATTACTTGAAATAGACACAGACAAAAATAAATAAATAAATAATATTCTTCTCTTTAGTTGTTATTCTTGAAAAAAAAAAAAAGGATTAACATTCTCTTTCAAAGCCTAATTCTTCGAAGAGGCACCACCTTTGTCTTGCTAGTTTGAAACATGTATACATTATAGGTGATTTTAAAAACTGCTTTTTGATAGCGAGAAAAGCAGAGATGATGTGCTCTTTAACATTGTGACGTGAAGACACGTGAGATTAGTGAAGCAAGCACCTTGGGCTACCAAAGCAAGCGTCTAATTTATTCGTGTGTAAGGCTCTTTTCAGTTACACTTCCACAGATTTTAACACTAAGCGCTGTGTAGCATCATTGAGGGAATATGAACGTGAAGGTGAACGTGAATGTGAATGATACTATAAATTTTATAAAAATATATTTAGTAAATATTTTGAAATGGAAATGTTTATTTCCTAGAAAATGAGTATTTTATTAAATAATGGAATCTAGATCTTATTCTATTAACTAAATATATAATTACTCTATTATTCTTTATCTTTTTGGTGGATGATAATATTACCTAAGTATGTCAAAAGTTAAAACTATTTTGTTTTAAAATTTATTAAAATAAAGAATGAATTATTTTTTTAAAATTCATTAAATTTAAGGTTATAACATAATTTTTTAATTTTTTTATTATGTTTATAATATATTAGAAATTAAAATTTATCCAATTTTTATATTTTTCTAACATTTTTTAATGGTAACAAATGATTAATATATGTTCTGTTAATTTACTTTTTTATTTAAATGATGAATTATTTGTTTTGAAATGTAATATTTTAATGTTAAATATAAAATTTTTATTTTTTATTATATTTATAATATATTAAAAATAAATTATATCTAATTATTTTTAATAAAAATATTTTTAATTTTAAATATTATTTTTATTTTCTTTTCCACGTCTATTGGAAATTATCTTGCAATGATCAAACTATTAGCGTAGCAAGCATACTTTGATTCTATTCGACCTTCATTCCCATTTTTATTTTTATGTAACAATAATATCGCCAAATATTATTTATTAATTTGTTTGTTATTAAAAATAAAAAATTGTTTTCCAGGCGTCCGCGAGTTTCTTCTGAAAAAACGTGCGAGTTTCTTCTGAAAAAACGTGCGGGTGCTCGAGCAGAAGTATACCATCCTCAGAGCCCTTGAAAGTTTCAAGCCCAACCAAATATACTTTGCCCCATCAGCATTACGATGGTTCGGTTCGTGTGCTTCGTCTTCACTAAAGTAGGCGCGGGAATAGACAAATACACTGTCCTGGCTCTTCAAATGTAATCTCCCCATCTGCCTCGCTGTTGGGACTCGACTAGTGTGGGAGCTATACAGAGTGAGATTTAATGGGAAACAGGAAACTTGCAGAGAATTCCAACGTCGATTCCCTCCCTGCAATTTCAGGTAAAGCTTTCCTCTTCAGTCTATTGGTCTCTTTCCGCAAAGCAATCGTTTGATTTTTGTTCTTTTTTTTTTTTTTAATTTTGTTTTTTCCCGGGATTGCCTGGCATCGGTTGAACTGAACTTGCCTACTTGTTTGTTTGTATTAGATAGATCCGTTCTTCTGTTGGATATAATCATGCATATTATAGTGCAACTTTAGTGCTTATATGAGTGTGCGTGCCTCTTGTCCACAATGGGATTATGAGAAGCTGATCCTCTAGTTCACAATGAGTCTTATACTTTAAAGGGATCTGCTGTGCCTTTACCTCAGCCTTTGTCCTGAGACCGACGGCAGCAAAAGCTAAGGTAATGGCGCAGCATATCAATTTAGCTCAGAATGGTAGTCATTGTAGATCAGAAAATCTGCTCTTGAATGGAAGCAAAGGCAAACATGATGAAGTTTTGAATCATCCCATTGTGATTATTAAGGGTTTTTATCCTTGTATAAACAGCAAATTGTTGTGAGATGTTTGAAGACTGAACTGCTCATTCTCTTTTTCTTAGAATCAATTTATTTATGTAAAAAATCTAGATGTATTTTTCTTTTGTCTGGATTCAAATCAATGACTAGTTCTAAAGTTAAACTTCTATAGTAGTACATAGCTAAATCGTCTTTCTTTTAGTTACGTGAAATACTAGGTACTAAATCCAATTACCATTTTTTTTGCTCCTATCATATTTTTATTTTTGTAATCAAGCCATCATTTATTGTTTCTCTTAAGCCCCAGAGACTCTAAAAGCCTACAGGAAGGAAGGGGAAGAAGATATTTGAGGCGCTTTATGTAGTTGACTTTGCATTTGTTTGACACTTACAGAATCTCATATTAAAGTTTCAGAGAATGAAATTTCCTGCATCTCATAGCAATAGAATGACAAAATGTATACAAGAGGAGAGTATCCCCATCCATGATTTCAGAACCTAAGTCTGTACCACAAAATTAGGATTAATCCTATATTTACATAGCTAATAAATGAAAGGCAATCAATCCTAGCTAATTTACAGGAATTCTAATCAGGAAAGAAAATCCTAAAGATAGTATATATCACAATAATGAAATTGATATCAATCACAATCAGTCCAATTAATGCTTGATTTTTTAACTGGAATCTCCTATAATCTTCACATATATGTCATGCCTTTATTAGCTGGCCAAAAGCCAACAAGTCTTTTCCATGTCTTTGTTTCAAATTTAGATATTTAGATATATTTCATTGTTCTAAACTTATTTGGCAAAAATGACAAAAATATGCTAGTCCTTCTCAAATGTAGCCATTTTTATTTTATACTTCTGATTGTGAAAATTTTATTGTAATCCAAATCTAATCTTCATTCACAACATGGGACATTTTAATAATGTGATATTTGAAAAAATAAAAGAACTTACATGCTATAGAAGAAAAAATGCTGACTAGGTTGATGATGTGAAAGTAGGTTTGAAAGAAAACTATGGCTATCTATCCCTTCTAAATAAAAGTAAGAGATTGAAAAAAATGTGTGTCCTAATTAGATAGCATTTATGTCCTAATGCTAATGACTACCCTCGCTTTGCCTTTGCTGCCAAGTCACTGATGATTGTTGCCAGTGCAGTTAGTTTTCCCCCTATTTATGATTCAAAGCTGTAATGGGTTGAAGTGCACATTTTTTAGCTTTATTCATCTGTTATGTAGTTTGCCTTGTTTTTTAGCCATTGATTGTTTACCGGTAGCTTCATTTTCTGTGCAAGAAGTTTTTCATATTTTCTGGTTTTGCCTGCATACTTTTCAATAGATTGCCTTAGTGACATTCTTTTTGGGATGGAATTGATGAAAGAGTAATTCTGGCCTTGGCTAGGGTGTTGACATGTGGTGAGTTGTCTTGCTTAAACACACTGTCTATATCTAAATTGGAGGAAGGGGTGACACTAGCTTTGGGAAGAGAGGAGAGTGCATCGTTGATGGCAGACAAAGCGGCAGCATCTCTGGTGAGATGAACACATAGAGGAGGAAATGCTAGTGGTAGGGGTGAGGAGGGGCACAACAACAATGAATTTCAATGAGGATGGCAGAGTGAGAGTAGAGACAGTTGCTTATCATCAAGTCATTAGAGTTATGAGGCAGATGTTATCTAATTGTTATTTTTCTTACTTTGTCATATGTAGGGAGAGTTGATGGGTATAGTTTTTTTTTTCTTTTTTTGACCCTAATGTCACATCATCATTGGAGTCAAGTTGTTTATTTTACATGCAATATATATATATTTTTTAAAGCCAAGTCATTAAAAGTGTGCCATAGGTCACCAGAGATTGGCTGCTGCTGATGGGAAAATAGATTTGGCTTCTTTTGGAAAGGTTAGAATAAAATAGTGGTAAATGAAATTATAGCATAAATTTTTGAAGTTTGTGAAATGTTGGAATGAAAGGGCAAGGTGAGATATGTTTGCTGGTAATATTCCATATATGAAGCAGTTAATTAAGAAAACAAAACGCTTTTCTTTTTTAACATTTATTTTGCTTCCCTCTGATAAATATATTACAGAGTGCCCGTTGTCTCTGAAGAGAAATGCAACATTTTATATTTTTTTTGAGCACATATATTTCTTATTTATTTCATTTAATTACATTTATCCATTATTGTCAATGCTACAATTGAAATTTATTAATCATAATTTAAAGTATATAATGATTTTAATTAGTTGTATGAGTCACTGCTATTATAGAACAAAACAAATTCACATGTGATATTTTATTCAATGAAAAAGTGAGGATTGTCCGGGACAAATGTTGTTGGAAGAGTAAAATAGTTGCTTCTATGACAAATTCCATTACTTTATCTAACAACTTTGGAGAAATCTGCTGATAGCTATTTAAATTGTTGTAGAGGTTTATGGAGATCAGGTCATGAAACATCGCTCCTGCTGGATGCACATTGCAGGATATCAACTTGCTTGTGGAAAGAGGATCACTAGACAAAAAATTGAAGACATAAAAAGATTTGAAAGAATTTCCCCATGTTTCTTAGGTACCTTCCCTCATCGTAAAAGGTCCACGAGGAGAGTTAACCACAAGAAAAAGCTCAGTAAACAAAATAACAAGTTAAACAGTTACACATTTGAATTCTACTTAGAGTAAGCCATATTCTCCCTTGTAGTTTGAGGCTAGGCTATTTCTTTATTTGTTTATTTATTTACTTGATACGTTCTGAGTTTGTTTAAATCACTTTGCCTCTTTATGTAGCTATATTGGAGGAGTTTGCCAGAAAGTAGGAGGAACTCCTTTATTCGGTTTGATTCTTTATGGTTTTCCCTGTATCTGAAAGAATCCTGTAAGGAAAAGGTTTTGAAATGGATCAAGAAGAGGCAAATTTTCTCAAAGAAATACGTGTTGGTTCCAATTGTTTGTTGGTATACTTCTCTAGTCTCCACTACCTCCACTGCTGCATTCATCTATTGTTATCTCTTGGTTGATGGAGTTCCATAATTTGATTTTCCAATTCTGCAGGAGCCACTGGAGGCTTTTGATTTTCTGTCACTTTGGTGAGAGTCTGCAGTCAAAAACAACAACTTCATGCATGCTGTTACTTGACTCTCTCCAAATGGCAGATCCAAAAAGGCTTGAGCCTTATATAAGAAAGTATGTTCTTTCTTTTCTTTTATTGTTATTTTTTCTACCACTTTGTTTTGTTATAAATACTTGATGGAACCTTTTATATAGGTTCGTGTTGGACATTTATAGAGCAGAGGACAGACCAGAGAGTAAAGAGTTTATATCCCGAATTCCTCTTTTTGTGCCAAAGGTGATGGACGTTGCTGTTCACATCTTTCTTCCTCCATCTTTCTAGATTTAATTTTTGACGAGGAGAAGATATCCTTTCAGGTGCCACAACAAATAACTGGTGAGGAGTGTGGCAAGTTTGTCCTATACTTCATACATTTATTTGTGGAGGAAGCTCCTGAAAATTTTAGCATTGTCCATGGCTACCCTTACTTTGTAAGCTTCTTTTTTTTCTTATTATTTTCTGATTATATCCTTAGGCTAACCTTTTATTTGAGTCTGGTAATATTGAGATTACTTTTACTATCGGTATTATAGTTGTTATTATTATTATTTATCAATTATTTTTTGATGCAATGCAGATGAAGCAGAACTGGTTTACTCATGATAACTTGGAGCAATTCTGCAAGCAATTTGATTATTTAGAAAACTAAATCCACAACATTTTGTTTTTATTTGAGCAGAAATTTGCAAGTTTTGATTGCAGATTTTTTTGGGAGGTGGGATGCCATATAATTCATTCCCCCTTCGCTCACCTTAAAAACAATTGACTGGAAGAAGATAGTGTTAGTTTTCCATCCCTCACCCCTTTATCTCCCAACCAAGCGAGTAAAATAGGAGGAGAAAGGAATGTTAGGAGAAAGTGACATACTGTAAGGGACTATTTCTTGTAATTATTTTATTTCATTTTATATTCGGACAAAGTTTAAAAGAAAAGTGAATGGGTACGTGTGGAAGAAAGCATTTTTGTTTAGTCAGAAAAACAGTAATTTATATAATTTAAGTTTTCGTAATTCTCTTAAAATTATCGATTAAAAGTAGGTGTTAATTGCCTTGGCTATGAAAGGTCTCGTTTAAGAACGGGTTGCATGGCATCCTTCCCAGTTTTAGTACAATTGGAGATGTCTTCTCATGTTTATCTGGTTATCTATAAAATTTTTCGGATTTTTTTCTACACTTTCTATAGGAATGGTAAATTTAAATTTTATATATGATATAACTAAATAAGTCTTATTGCCTCTTTAGAAATTTAAATTCTATAATCTAGTTTAGATATATAACTTTTATATTTGTTAAAGGAGAAAGACAAGAAAATGAATTTGACCTCTATAATAAGCTACATGGATTAGGGAAGTAGTGTTTGTCCAAACGGCATGTGATGATATTTTTTGAAGTGCAAGCATCATGGAGATCCACCCAGCCTCTCACTAGAGTAACCAACATTCTACTAAAGTATTGTCAGGTAAGACAAATAGGATAAGAGATGATAGGGTAATTTTTAGTAAAGTATCTTAATTATATAGTATTTTAGATAATTATTTCGTTTGATACATTTGAATTAAATTTTGAAAAAAATAATAGATAAATATATAAATTATGAAAATGAACGTTTTAGTCTTGGTGGTCAATGGTGGCTAGTGATAGCAAACGAAGGCGATTAGTGGTGGCTAGAGATGGTTGATGATTAGAGGTGGCTAGCGACAATTAGTAGTTGTCAAAGGCAACCAGTGGTGGCGGGTGGTAGCGGCTGGTAGTGGCTATAGATGGCATTTAGCGATAGTTGGTAGTGGCAATTAGCGGTAGTTGGTTATGGTCGGAGGCGAGGCGATGATCACCGATGGCTGGTGGTGGCTGGAAGTAGAGATCAACAGTGATTAGTAATGGTTGACAATAGTTGGCAATGGTTAGAGGGGATCAATGGTGGTGGTTGGTGGTGGCTGGTGGCCATCAGAGATGATAGTTGGCGGCGGTTGGTGGTGGTGGCTAGTGGTAGTGGTAAGAGAAGTATCATTCAAAGAGGTTGGATAAGAGTTAGATCAAATTATTTTACACCTCTCTTCAATATAATTTATTTAGATTTGGCTCAACAATTATCTAACATTTCTCTTGTCCGAACTCTATTCGACTTTTTCTTATCCAATTTACTGAACGTGAAATAAGGTAGATAAATAAATTATTTTTATATGCTTTATTCAAATCACCGAATGAGCCCTAGGATGTAAAGAAACATTACTTCATTTGAAGTTGTTTCATGTTAGCACGTTAATTTGGTGAGATTGCGCCTAACTATGGTCTATGCAAATTACATAAATTTGTGCTTAATGTTGTTTTATATGTGTTAAGAAAATGATTTCTCCCACTATGAATTGATAATACATGATACACACATATTTATATACAAAGGACATATACTAATGAAGAAAGAATATCATGAAAGAAATTTCTATGAATCTTCTAATTTGATCCTAATTGATCTAATTTATCTAAAATAAAAACCTAATATTATTATTCCATAATTAACACTCTCTCTTAAGCTGGAGTACATAGATCATATGCACCAAACTTGTTACATAAATAACTTATTCTAGGACCTCTCAAGAATTTAGTGAGAATATCTACCAGTCGGTCATTTGAATTAACAAATCGAGTAGTAATGTCTCTTGATTGAATCTTTCTATGAGGAAATGGCAATCTATCTCAATATGTGTTAGTCAGCTCATAAAACACTGGATTAGAAGTAATATGCAATGCTGTTTGATTAGCACAAACAAGTGTCATTTGCATAGACTCCCCAAATTGAAGTTCTTTAAAAAGTTGTTTCAACCAGATGAGTTCATAAGTGGCTAAGGCCATGACACGATATTCTTTTTTGGTACTTGATCTTGCAATTTCATTTTGTTTATTACTTTTCCATGATATCAAATTACCTTCAATGAGTACGTAATACTCAGAAATGGATATTCGATTGACAAGAAAACTTGCCCAATCAACATATGAATATCCAACAATCTGAGTGTGACCTTTGTCTTCATAAATGAGGCCTTTACTAGAAGCTCCTTTAATATACTTTAATACAAATTATCGCATTCCAATGATCCTCAAATGGTGCATTTAAAAATTGACTGACCACACTGACCGAAAAAAGATATTTGGTCGTGTTACTGTGAGGTAGTTTTAATTTTTTGACTAATCTCTTTTATCTTCCTAGATGTTCATAGTATATTTTCTTTGTGAGATAACTATTTTATCCTTGGATTGAGCAACTTTAATTTCCAAGAAATAGTAGAGTTTACCAAGGTCTTTGGTCTGGAAATGATGAGAGAGATGTTATTTTATCTGAATTATGCCGTGGTGATCATTGTTAGTGATGACAATATCTTCCACATATACAATTAAGTAAATACATCTTTGAGCTGAATGGTGATAGAACACAGAGTGATTGGTTTCATTTCAAATCATACCAAATTGTTGGACAATAATGCTGAATCTACCAAACCAAACCCAATGTGATTGTTTAAAGGCATATAATGACTTACGAAGATGACAAACCATGCCAGCAGACTCCCCTTGAACAACATATCTAGGTGGTTGCTCCATATAAACTTTTTACTAGATTGCCATGAAAGATGGCATTCTTGATGTCCAGCTGATAAAGAAACTAGTGGTGAATAACAGCCATAGTTAGAAAGAGCTGAACAAAGGCCATCTTGGCTACAAGAGAAAAAGTATCACCATAATCCAAGCTAGAGATCTCAGTGTACCCTTTGGCTACCAGACGAGCCTTAAGACGATTAATGTTGCCATCTGGACCAACTTTAATGATATAAATCCACCGACAACCAACAATAGATTTGCCTGGTGGTAGGGGAACCAGATCTCGAGTATCATTGTTCTGAAGTGCACACATTTCATTAAATATAGCTTGTCTCCACTTAGGATGGGAACGAGCTTCACCTGGGGACTTAGGGATAGACACAGAAGAGAGAGATGATAGACAAATATAATGCAAAAGTGACAACCGATGATAACTTAATGTAACATAATGAAGCTAAAGATTCTGAGTAGATCATATACCTTTTCTGAATGCAATAGGAAGGTTCGGTATAGGAGTAGGTTCGAAGTTGGTAAGGAAGTCAATGCCGGAGTAGAGTCTACATTAACTTCAGTATTAGTAGGCGAAGAGATAGGTTTAGGAGGGAGAGGCGTATGACGATGGTAAGCTTGGAGTGAAGGAGTAGAAGCAGAAGGCTGAGATGTAACAAACTCTACAAAAGGGATTGGAGGTGTATTTGGCTTGAGGGGAGCAAGGAGATGTGAAAGAGGTAAAACCTCAATTATAGGTTCAGAGATAGAAGCAGTAAACACGAATAGAGGAATAGATTCAAAAAATGTGAAATATGGGGATACAAATAACATTGAAGAGTAGATAAGAAACAACAATAGCGTTTTTGAGATCAAGTGTAACCAAGAAAAAAACACTTAATGGATCGAGCTGAAAGTTTGTCAAGCCCAGAAGTAAGGTTATGAACAAAACAACTCGATCTAAAGACACGAGGTGGAAGAGAATATAAAGGTTGACGGGGGAACAACACAGAATAAGGAATTTGGTTATGAAGTACGAATGAGGGCATGCGATTAATCAAGTAGCAAGTAGTGAGAATAGCATCACCCCAAAAATGAACATGAACATGTCCATGAAGTAGAAGGGTTTGAGTTATTTCATAAGATGTCTATTTTTGCATTTAGCAACCCTATTTTGTTAAGGGGTATAAGCATAGAATGTCTGATAAAGAATACCATGAGAAAACATAAAATGCTGAAAAGGTTGAGAGAAATATTCACCAGCATTGTCACTTCTCAAAGTGCGAATTGGAACACCGAATTGAGTTTGATTTTTTTAATAAAAATTTTTAAAAATAGAAAACAATTCAAATCTATTTTGCATTAAAAATAACCAAGTGCATCATGAATAATCATTAATGAAAGTCACAAAATATTTGAACTCTAAAGTAGACACAACTCGACCAGGATCCCATACACTAGAATGATTTAAAGCAAATGGAGACGTGGATTGACAACAAACTTTATAGGGAAACATGCTACGAGTGTGTTTTCCTAATTGGCATGATTCACAAGACAAGGTGGACAATTTGGAAAGACATGACACCATTTTCTGCAATTTAGCTACACTAGGATGGCCCAACTGAGTATGGATAGTGAGAGGAGATGCTGTGGCAGCGCAAACTCAAGAATGGTTGGAAAGGTGGTAGAGGCCATGAGAGTTACATCCGATGTCAATCATTCGTCCCAAACTCTGATACTATAGAAAGACAGAATCTTTAGTAAAGGTAATGGCACAGTCAAGAGAACATGTCAAACAACTAATAGAGAGTAAATTAAAAGGACACCCTGCAACATATAGCATAGAATCAACTGTTATAGAAGAAAAAGGTAGTGCAGTGCCAATCCCATGAGATTGTGTTTGGGAATCATTAGCTAAG